AGGGGAGAAGACATTTCTGCTAACGTGTTTTCACTATCAACGTCTATTCATCTTGAAATTGAGGGGGGGAGAAACACAACTTACAGATTGCCCCTGGGTGCTCAAGTTGGGGGGGTGGGGACACAACTTAGAGATTGTCCCTGGGCACTGTCACTCTCACTACGCCCCTGCAGGGGCACAATTTCAGTGCTTTCCATAGGCACTATTTTCCGTAGATACGCCTCTAAGGCTCCTGTCTACCAATTGGGCGCTGCTATAATTCCAGGGGACATGCTGATGGGATGCAAGTATTTGTGTAATTTTCTAAGGTGTTGTCACTCCTTTCCCTCTCAATGCTGAGTACATCTTCCTTTTCACTTTCAATTCAGGAAACAAGGACCTCAACCAATAGGTGGTTTTCTGCTCCCTTTTTTCTTGGTGGGAATGTAATTCATTTCACTGCAACATGATTTGGCGGCGTTTAGAGAACACTGGTGTTATAGGAAGTGCCCTGATGGATCAGGAGGTATTCTCAGACACTGTACATTTTTTTCAGGCTGAGCTAAATTGCACCCAACTCTGCTCCATTTTCATCTTTGCATGGGTGTAAGCAACGAGCATCGCTTTGCTGTACTGTCAAAGAAAACCCCAGAAACGCTCTTCTATTTTTCATCAGGCCAATACTCAGCCTCTTTATATAATTTTTTTCTCTCCTAGGCCCTAGAGGGAAAGAAAATGTAGACTCTAAGCTTGAGATTTATTCTTCTTCTTGCAGGGCTCCTAAAATGATCTCAAAGACCACATGTCCCTTGGAGCAAGTATTTTTGATACTTCTGTTTCCAGCAACCTCCAGCCTCCAAAGAGGACATTACAACTGAAATGTGCCCCTGACACCAGTTTTTGAGCCTCTGCATTTTAATTCAATGTGCTTGCTCTGTCTCAAGGTCTCCAGCTTATAGCATGCCCTTTCCTGAGGAACATAAATTACCTAAATCCAATATTAGTGTCTGTCTTTCTTCTTGAGAAGGAGGAGATGGTCATTTGCTTGAGGCATTTGGTGACCACATTGTCAATCATGATAGGGCCAGTGAAGGGTCTGAGGATAAGCCATTGTTTTACCGAGGCACAGAGAAATAAACTTCTTGATGGTGATCAATTCTCGTTATTGAGGAGGAGGGCAACTGAGAGTGGGCCTCCTAAAATTGGCTTTATTTCATTGTGGGTGCCCAAATTCATGTTGTGCCCTCAACAGAGAGGAGTAGAACTGTTACTCCTAGTAATCCCAGACGGAAAAGACACTGAGCCTGGCTTTTGCCACCGAAATTCATACAGGACTGATAAAGCATGTCAACTGTTAAGTTTGTTTTCTGAGTGTAAAAATCGGTAGAAGATCAGAATTTTAAATAACAGCTGTAATATCAGAACACACTGTATTTTTCTTTTTATATCACTATTTGCATAAAGTATTCATCAGACCACCCTAGACCCCCTTTCCCTGTGAGTCATACAATGACAGTTTGAAATGTCCCCAGTTTCAAAAAGGTCAAAGATATGTTCATACCAGCTTTTTCAAACATAGTCCTGCTTTTAGAGTATAGTTTATTGTGATTTTTGTAAATCATTTTAGTCAGCGTTTGAGACCAAGACAGAAGTTATATTTGATTCAGCCATGTCTTATGGTATGATGTGCCATCTAAGTCCCAATGTTACACAATAGTTGTCAGGAGAACTTCTGATTTCTATAATATCCATAGATAAATATGAAGATTCAAAGACAGCAGGGCCTTAACCAAGCTTAAAGAGTTTTCCTTTCTTAGCTGACCTTTTTGCAAGTGACTATAGGAAATCATTTTGATGAAATCTGTTTATCAATTACAACTATCATTTAGTTTTAGTGATTTTAAATATTACCAGATACCAATCCCAAACAAGGAACAAGTCATCCATTTTGTTGACAATTTTCAAAATTAACATGCATATCCACTGTTACTAAAGAAAGGCATATGCTGATGGTGTATATGTTGATGCACCATAGAAAAAACTCTTAAATCCTAGTTTTCTGGAAACATTGGTTATTACAGAAGACAGGGCTAAATTAATATAATTACTTATTACCCTAAAATTATTATTACAAATGCTTTATAAATCCTTTTAGGACTTTTTGAAAAGCTGAAATTACAACAAAAGATGCAGATGAAAGCATGAAGTGTTCTATTCTGTACAATTTCTATTTTTTGCTCAATGTCATGAGAAATTACACATGCTTCTACTTTGCAATATTTCTAGTAGAGAACATGGGCAGCCCATGTCTCAGTACTCCAAATGAGAAAGGAGCAGTTTTAATTTGATAACTCCACTGTCGATCATCTTATAAAAAGAGGAAAGCAGTCCACTTTGTGCCCAAAGAGTTTCACTTCCAAGGAGTTTGACCATGACTGAGCCTCTCACCATATGCATCGCCTAAAGTAAGACAGTCTTCACTGTTTGGGATTTTGAGAAGAAACAAACAAACCTCACCAAAAGATCAAATCAAACCCGTTGCCATTGAGTCGATTCTGACTCATAGCCACCCTATAGGACAGAGTAGAACTGCCCCATAGAGTTTCCAAGGAGTGCCTGGTGGATTCAAACTGCCAACCTTTTGGTTAGCAGCTGTAGCGCTTAACCACTACACCATCAACAGAGGGCTGAGAAACCAATGTTTATAATAAAAACCGAACCAGTTGCCATCAATTCCAACTCATAGTGACCCCACGTGTTTCAGAGTAGAACTGTGCTCCATAGGGTTTTCAATAGCTGATTTTTCAGAAGTAGATTGCCAGTCCTTTCTTCCAAGGCACCTCTGGATGAATTTGAACCACCACCCTTTCAGTTAGTAGCTGAGTGCTCAACCATTTGTGTCACCCAGAGACTTGATTGTATTTACAATACCTGATGATTAATACAGTAATCCCCCTCCCCTTATCCTCAGGGGATATGTTCCAAGACCCCCAGTGGATGCCTGAAACCTCCGATGGTAGCAAACCCTATATATGCCATGTTTTTTCCTATCCCTTGCTGAAGCCTTTGTATAGGCTCAATGCTTTCTGGTGCAACACGCTGCCACCAACCAGAACATGTTTTCTGTTCATGTCTCCCACCCACAAATTTAATGCCTTTTCCTTCTTAACTAAGCACTTAGCGCTGACCGTGGCCGTAACTTTTACAGTTTGAGGTTCGACAGCAAAACCAGCACGAATTTCTTCTTCCTTCTTCATGGTTTCATGGACAGAAGGTTCATTCTTACTGTAGATCTTAGCAACCTCAGCATACGATTTTTTTTTTCTTTCCTTATTAAGTCGAGAACTTTCCCTTTTCACTTAAAGGAAATATTTTATGGCTTCTCTTTGGCACACTCGAATCGCCAGCATCACTACTCTTGCGCTTTGGGGCCATTATTGAGTAAAATAATGGTTACATGAACACAAGCACTGCGATACCTCCACAAGTCGATCTGATAACCTAGATGGCTGCTAAGTGACTAACGACCGGTAGCATATACAGCATGGGTACGCTGGACAAAGGGACGATTCATGTCCGGGGTCGGACGGCGCGGGAAGGCTCGAGATTTCATCACACACCAGAGAACGGCCTGTAATTTAAAACTTATGAAATGCTGATTTCTGGAATTTTCCATTTTATATTTTCGGACCCTGATTGACCGTGAATCACTGAAACTGCAGAAAGTGAAACCGTGGATAAGGGGAGAGACTACTCTGGGTTAACTTGAGTTGTAATTTTAAAAATCTTAGTTGGAAAACCTTTTTAATTGCTGTCTGATGCTTGGAGACCTGAACATTTCACCCTCTGCCCTATAAAAAGAACCAATAAATTTAGGGCTTGACAAGGAGAAGGAGGTCTCCCCTGATTTTGTTTGGCCAAGAATTCCTCCTAACATGGTGTTGTCAGAGTAGATTCATAAAGCTGAGAATTAACTCGGAATTCTAACCTTTGAGTAGGATTGTGAGACTTGCTCTCTTGGGAGTAGCGGATTGTTGTATGAAGACACAGTGAGTAAATAATGTGGTACTTCTTTCCCTATTTTACTGGACAACTTCAAGGGATTAAAACTGTGGGATTTCTTTAATTCTCATGAGAAATGTTTTTGAGGAAAAGGCCAAATTACCCATCGCAAAGAATCTGAATTTTGAATGGCTCTTTAAGGCTTAACTCATTGCCATCAAGTTGATTCCAACTCATAGCAACCCTATAGGACAGAGTACAACTGCCCCATAGGGTTTCTGAGGAGCGGCTGGTGGATTCCAAATGCTCACCTTTTGGTTAGCATCCGAGCTCTAAACCAAAAACACCAACCCCATTCATTGCCTTTGAGTGGATTCCAACTCATAGCTCTAGAGAATATTAAATAGAATCCTACCTTCACCTAGTGGCCAAGAGTGGAATCTAGACTTGGAACAAAAAATAATTTGTCAACAATTTGGAAATACTCCAACATTCTTAACACCAAAGTTAGAGAAGAAGTTAGGCATACAAAGCAATGTGAGTCTAAACAAATATGGACAAATAGGCTTTGGCAGCACCAGTGCTTCTGTGGTTTGGCTATGCCTTTAACAACAGCAGTGAAGATATACTAATTGCTGTTGTGTTGCCAAACAAACCCTAATTATATTTTTAAAGAGTTGAATATAAAGGAAACATACCAGCAGAAGGCAACCCTGCAACATCAACCTCGTCAAGAGGAAGGTCTACGAAAAGGTAGACTCCTGGTATCTGTAAAGTGAGCGTGATCATCCGAGAACATCTAGAGCAGTGCTGTCCGGTAGAACTTCCTGTGATAATGGAATTGTTCTACATCTGTGTTGTACAATAGAGTAGCCACTAGCCACATGTGGCTACTGAGCACTTGAACTGCTAGTGGTTCATACAACTAAGTGGCTGAAATGTTTATTTAATTTTAAATTATTGTAGCCAATGTGGCTAGTAGCTACCATATTGAACAGGTAGAATACACCTTACAGTCTGGCTCTTAAAAAATGTATATCCTCTCTGAATACTCTTAATGAAGGCAGAACCATCTACAGGAGAAACTGACAGAGAACTGAAAAATGAAAAGGAATTTGAGAAGCCAGGGAGGATGGAGATAAAGTGTCTGGTCATGGCTTACTTGATTTGGGGATATCAGAATCCCAAAATCATTACAGACCCGCTAGCAAGTTAATAAAATTACAAAAGAGGTTAAGAAAGCATCAATTCCAATTCAAGTCCAATTCTAGCAGATATAGAAGCTACAGCCATAGAAATAATCTTGGCAAACTCTCAACTTGTGTGGTTTAAAAGGGCTGGGAAACAAGTCAAAGGGGAACACCAAGATAAAGAGCTTATAAATTCTAAGAACACATTTCTCTCGGTACATACAGAAAGGGGGAACTTAGCAACACCCCCTTTGATTTACCTTGTCCTTTCTGAGTTTGAAGAGCTTCACACTAAAAATCAGGCTAGATCCTCTCATAGGACAGGACAAAGAGCCCCAACGCCCTTCCCCCCAGACCTGTTACAACATTAGATCTGTTTGGAGACACTCTACACTCTAGTTAAGACATTTTGGACAAAGGACGATATTTAAGAATTCCAGGAACTTTGGGATACAGGATCAAAAGAAAACTTTTAATTAGGAAAACATAATCTAATGAAAACAAATAAACCTGTTGCCATCGAGTCAGTTCTGACTCACAGCGACCCTATAGGACAGAGTAGAACTGCTCCATAGGATTTCCAAGGATCGACTGGTGGATTCGAACTGCCAACCGTTTGGTTAGCAACTGTAGCTCTTAACCACTGTGCCACCAGGGCTCCTCATAATCTAATAAGAAGGGCTATTTCGAATATTGGAGTATATGGAGGAGAAAGTATCTAAGGTGGCAGGTTGTGATGATGTTAAATGGGGATACAAACAGCCAAAAATTTTCTGTGGTGATTTCACCTGCCCCTGAGTATGTTATTTGAATTTACTTCTTGCAGTTCTGGGAAATGGGAAAGTTCCCATTTTAATGAATCTCTGGAACTCCACTGTCTCACCAAAAAAAAGTAGATATGAAACAGTCTCACATCCCATGCACCTACCCTGGTGCTCATTAGCAAG